TTAAGTTCCATTTGAGAAAGATGAGGCCACGCTACGACTTCCTTGAGAATCAACCACCAACATGATCATTCACAGACTAAAACAGTGAGACAGGCAGCTCAATCTGAGTGATTGGGCAAGTTGCATCTCAGAATTGAGAAACCTGACTCAGCAGCAGCCAGTCAAGATTTGGGTGACTGCACATCCCATACAGAACAGATAATCATGATTTAAGTTAAGAGTATTCAGAACCCAAATTTCAAGATGCAGAGAACACAGATCACAGGAAAGGCACCCACCAGCACTCGTAAGAAATCGAAAATGAGAAACAAGAACACTCCTCTTGAAGTAGGTCTTGGAATCAGCATTACATTATTTAAGTTAGGCCAGGCTGATGGACTAAAGGTAATCTGAGCTCATCTTGCACAGTACCTGCTGATTCAGAGAGGAAGAAATGCATCAGACACCCTGATTCATAGGAGAGAGAAATGTTGAAAAATACTAGTAGCAGAGCACAGTTCTCTTCACTGCTTTAGCTTGTAGCGGAAGAGGAAGAAGTACGGTGGGATTTCCTGTGATGTCACAAAGACAAGTTTAATGCTTCTATTTTTATGCTAAGAATCTTTTTAATTCTGTGGGCTTATGCTTTCTCCATACTGTAACCTTAGTTCTAATAAGAATGGCATAGATGCCTTACCTGATAAAAAATAAGATGCAGAAACTAAAACAGGAGCTTAAAAAAAAAAAGCTTGTTGCTCCCACATTATCTTTTAATTTCCATTCTGATTTTGAGAAACGATGCACACTTCTTCAGTAAAGCCTGAAGCACTCATGCTGCACTGCACTACTGGCCAGAAGTGATCTGTTTAAGTATATTAATAGCCAGTTATATACAATAAATACTTCCTAACTGTATAAAGTATATGTCAAAACAAAGTAATCTCCAAGGAAATTAAAACTAATTTCAACAGCAACATAAGTTCATTATGAAAAATTTATCTTCCTACGTCTTTCTTACCTCCTCATGGGAACGTCACAGTGAGTTTTCACAGCGTGCAGCTGACAATGCAGAACCCAGTTTAAGAGGCAGAAACAAAAGCTTACTAGCAGAAAGAGAAACTCCACTCCAAAGCATGGTTAAAATGAGTTGAATTTACAAGGGTTTAATGAGCTTACTTCAGCTGTCCTGCTGTCAGTGAATACCTGTCAACTAACTCAACAGGAAGCATCGTATTATTAATCAAACCAATAGCTTATACCTTTATTTAAATGGATTAACCTTGCTGAAAAATTTCGGACAAGGCTTATACTTCTAACAAAAGTTTGCACTGATGTAACCAGTCAAGGTGGCGAAATTCATCCACTCTACCAGGTAACAGAGACAGGTCTGACAAGGCCGGGAGCTACTGCACAAACTGCTGGTCTGGCTGTGCTTCTAGAAGTCCTTTTAAAGAGGAGTCCTAAATCCACTGTCCTTTCATATTAACTGCCACAATACCCCCATTTTCAGTGACCACACCTGTAGCCATTTCCATGAGCACCGTAACATGCTGCAACGCAAGCATTCAGAATAAGGTTGAAATAAACTTGCTACAACTGGTGACCTGCTACTAAATACTGCAGGACTGCAGAAAGTCAAACCCATACAAAGGCACTGGACGTTAGTCCATCTTGCAAATATCTTCCAAGAGAACTGAAGTTCACTGCAAGCAAGTCAAATTTGATTAAACAGATTGGGTAACAGAGCCATTGAGAACAGACGACGCAGGATTTCCCTTCCCTGCCAAAGCTTTCCCTTCAAGTTCAGGATTTCCAGTACAAGCAATATACTTGTGGGCAAAACATACCACAGACCTCAGAACAAGCTTGCTACATCGTATCTAGTTTAAATCCCAGGTTTAATACACCTCCCAACTTAACAGCAAGTGCAGTAGCTCTGAATCAGACCGCTACAATCAGCAGACTACAGACTACAATAAGTAGGTTGGCTTACCTTCTCTCTAGCACACCCCTTAGACAGAAGACCCCTTACACTGAAGGAGCAATCTGCATTTACCACCATCACATCTCTACTCACCTGAAAGCACATGGTAGGAATTGAGGGAAAGGAGACAAAACACTTCTTTTCAATTTTGATCTCCTGTATGAACTAAGTAGAGGACTGTCACATCAGTTCACTATCAGAAGGACGGACAAACCACAAGACTTGGCTGAACTGCAGGCAACAGGGCTGAAATACAGTTAATGACTGACACGCTGTCAGTACCACCTTCACTCCTCTTGGCTATGTAAGAAGTGAATGCACCTTGCTAGTGAGGGACAAATCACTTCCCTGGAAAGGACAGAAGCGAGACACCACACTGCTCTCCCACACGTGGAATTTACAGCTGTACTGCAATTCCTGCACTGAAGTGAGCACTTCTGTTTCCAAAACAGATTAGAAAGTGATGAAAAGACAACTGCCAACCTCAGCATTAATAGATAATACTTTCAGCAAAGGTGCATCTGGAAGCAGTTCTGCAATTAAACAACATAAACGGACTCAATTCCATCATTTATAAGGTACAAATAAAAAGGCAACTATAGTTCCCAAGTCCTTCTATCATAATGTTTTCTTTCTCCGTTTTCACACAGCTGACGAGTTTGCAACAAGTTGCTACTAAAATCTGCTGAGGAAAATGCAAGACAGGAAGCAGTAAGTGCAATGCCATTGACTTTTTTCCTTTTTTTTTTTTATTTCTGTACGCAATGTAATGTTTAGGCACGTTGCTTGGGACGCTTTCTAAAATAAATCATTGGCCATTGTTTAGAGTATCCTTTTGGCTTTAAATACTGGTCAGGAAAACAAATGATGTAAAAATAAATGAATATAATTATTACAGAAATAAAAATGGATTTGCATCTAAAAGTGCAGGAGGTGAAGTACTTTAACCCTTTCACCAGACAATGTGGCAATATACAGAATATTGCTTCCGTTTGTTTGAGAAGGCTGTTGGAATTGTACACTGACATAGAAAATTATAAATTACACAGAATTAGTTTCCATAATCACTATATATATATACACAAACCAGCTGCGAAAAAAACTGGTTTAGAACATACAAATGAAAGCCTCACACAGATCAGTACAGTGAAAGTAACAATTAACATGCTCTGCTGCCAAAATTGGTATTAAAAGAACACTATATACTTTTAAAATGCATGTACTGTAATTACATTAGCAGCACGGGCATTTCATTTACTTGACTTGTCTAAGAGGATTATAGCGTTTTAAATACGCAGATTGTTCTGAAATGTTCCATCGTGTAATGCTGGGGATTAAAGTAAATCTTGGTGAATGGGTTAAAAGGCAGGTGAATCACTTAACACAACAAGCCATGTGCACTTCAAATATTCTAGTGTTTCACCTGTAAGGTATTGTTTCAAGCAAACAAGACTTAACAGAACATATGGCTTTACAGTAACATCAATTTGTCAACTAAGTTGTAGCAATAAATACTTAAAATCTCTACCAATAGACTTACATTTTTGATCTGTTTTAAACAATACAGAAAACAATTACCAATTAAAAAACCAGTTGTAAAATGTTGAACACCAAAACTCTCATTTAAATCACTTCTGTAAGCTAAAACAACCAAAAATAACGTTTATAGGGCATTTCAGTTCTACAATTCTTCGCCAACCTGGAAGAAACATGAATTCAGGTGTGGGGGTTTTTTTTGGTTGTTTTTTTTCTTCTTTTTACAAGGTGAAAAATGTATGAAAAACTGCTAAATACTTTGGTCACACTAATCGTCAAATAGTTATGTCTCAAATACATTAGATTTGTGTATTCACTTTTTTTTTTATAAAACTATTCTTACAGCCATTTTTAACTATAGTAACACTACTGTCATCATTACATGGGTGGCAGGATCTTATTTCACAGGCCACCCGTTAATTAGAACAATACAATATAAACATACGCAAAAATTATTGGTATTTCTCAATGTGCAATATTTTTACACTTATGAATTTCTGTACAATGTCTTAAAATCTAGAATATAAATGTTGCTGGTCCTGATCCCTTGCAAAATTAGTGCAGCAGTAACTGGCTTCAACAGGCTCTAGATGAAATCCTCAAGAAACGCTCAAACCCCCGGGTATCAGTTCATTTTCTTCAGCCAAGGCAGCAGACATCACATATCATACAGGGCCATTAACAGATGTCTCTCCTAAAAGGGTGCGTTGGTCAGTCCTAAGAGGCCAAAAAAGGATGTAAGTGTACAAGAAACAGGTGGTGTCATTTATTTTTTTTTTTTTCCACATGCCCAAATTTGCAGACAATGCTAAATTAACAAAACTAGGAAGAGCTGCTGAATTCCTCAAGGTGGAGAGTCCTTGCAGAGAGATCTTGGCAGATTAGAGCACTGGGAAATCAGCAACCACACGGAATACAACAAGAGCTGGATTGCCCACCTGGGATCGGTCAGCCCTGGCTGTATGTACAGACTGGGAAAAAAGAGGCTGGAGAGCAGCCCCACAGAAAGGGATCTGCTGTTCTGGCTGGTGGCAAGTTGATGTGAGCCAGCAGTGTGCCCTGACTGCCCAAAGGGAATGTGCCAGTCCCAGCACTGCTGCTGAACAATGGAGGCTTGTCCCACTCTGCTCTGCACAGCCTCACCTCCAGTACTGGGTGCCATTTGGGTGCCATAATGCCAGGAGGACATAAAACTGTTAAGAGAGCATCCAGAGGAGGGCTATGAAGGTGGTGAAAGGTCTGGAAGGCAAGGTGTGAGGAGCGGCTGAGGTGCCTGGGTGTGCTGAGCCCAGAGCAGAGGAGCTGAGGGGAGGCCTCATGGCAGCTCCTCACAGGGAGCGGAGGGCAGCGCTGAGCTCTGCTCTGTGTGACAGTGACAGGGCCCAAGGGAATGGCATGGAGCTGTGCCAGGGGAGGGTCAAGGGAGTGTTAGAGTAAGGTTCTGCACCAGAGGGTGGTGGGCACAGCCCGAAGTTCAAGGAGCATTTAGACAATGCTCAAAAATACAGCTTTGTCTTGGTATGGAGTCAGGAGTTGGACTCTGTGATTTTTGTGAGTCCCTTCCAGCTTGGAAAGTTCTGTTCAGACAAGGTTGTCATTAGCAAAGGCTGTGACATTTCTTCCAATCTGCTGATTTCTACAGTTCGGATTACAAGGTCCTAACATTTGCCCCACAGGGAAGCCAAAAACTGCAGGTTTTCCTACAAGTATAATTAAACTTTTCAGAACAGAATTCCACAGAGCTAAAAAGAGGGAACGAGCTAATTACAGGCTCATCCTTTTCTGGAGTTCTTTCTATCTCATTTGGCATAGCCAAAGTAACTCAGCATACGAGCAAAATGTGTTTGATCTTTATTGAGTTACTGAATGGTCTCTGGAGCTGCTGATCTCTCCCCTAGAGAACCGCTGATAAATAGCACGCTTCTGAGGCTTCTCCACAGCTTACTCTGTGAGGCAAAAGATGACACCGGGATACTTCAGATTGCATTTGAAAATAAGCAAGTAAGACATAACAGGAAAAAACAACTGCTTTGGTGATTAAGTTTATAAGACGCTGTTTCACTAATACTTTGAACTTCAGACCATTAGTATGAAAGATTGATGAAGTATGGAAGAAGTTAAAGAGCAAACCTGCAAAAGTGAAAATGGTAACAGTGTATACAGTTCTAGGTAAGTTTGGATATTTGGATAAAGATGTGAGCTCAGTTGCTCTGGTGTAATGCAAATGAAGAGATCAAATCAGCTGCATAAAAATATTAAGAATTGCAAGCAACGAAAGCAAAAAATCTCAGCTTCCATTTAGTGCAAGTCTACTGAACACATGTGGAGTTTCCTTTAAAGAATATAAATACTATTTGGAACTGCATGAGAAAAGTTACCTGTAACTCCTGTTCTCTGATGGTGTACATCACAGAGAAGCCACTCTTGGGTCCGTGCTCTACATGCACATGACCAGCAGGAGTCCCCCTAGCTAAGTCTTTGGCTGCTAAGCACTAAAAACACTTTTTAAGAAAAAATATGTACATATTAGATAAAAAGACAGACAGCACTAGACAAAGTTAAACATTTTTTTAGAGAAACCTGTAAGCTAAGAAACAAGTGCTGCACAGAGAGGAGTTCTGACAGTTCAGAAAGCAGTAAACTACGAACTAATTGGAAAACATCCACGACAGAAAAGGGCTCCTAGCAGAGATTATTATTACGGCCACCAGCCAAAGACCTACCTAGGGACTCCTCCCGCTAGTCACACATGCATGGAGCCCCAAAAGTACAATTCAGTTTATCTAGACATTTGTTCTGTACGTATATGAGGATCTGCTGTGACAGTCACCTTTAGAGAAAGCACTGAGCTGCGCTGAAGTAGGTCACATTCAATGAAAGGAGTTCCTCGAGATTCTCTGTAACCCAAGAGCAATCTGAGGAACTGCTGGCTCTGAGAGCCCTCTGTCGGTTAAGACGAGCATCTTTACTCAGAAGGCAAGTACCCACACACTTCTTTCTTCCCTTTAACGTAATGCTTAGCACTGCTAGAAATGCTGCATTGATAAAAACAGCACCTCTAGATAAAAAAGGGAGCGTGAAAGATGGAGTTTCTGTGTTTCCCCTTTTAAGGGGGCAGTTTTTTCCAATTGGAATCAATTTCTTGATTAAGTTTACTGAATGTATGCAGACTAGAAAGTTCAGGCTTACCAAAAAACATATCAGTATTTCAGTGTAATCTCAGGTCCTGGATGCAAAACATACCCACTCAAACTAGTCCCAGACAGACAGAATCTCTGACTTTGAATAGGCTTGCACCTTTGTTTAGTTTCCGTAAAGTACAATAAAAAACATTCAGTAGAGTTCTGTTTTATCATATGTCAAGCTATCTTCTACATCTTGGCTTACAAAATCTTTAAATTTTGTCTTGCCTAGAAAGTGAAGAGTGTAATAGTGTCTACAGTCTTCAAAAATGATTAATACTTTGAGACATTTTTATGAAAAATACTAAGTTCCTCTAATAACAGTTTTATATCTATGGAAGTTGAGAAAAATACCTTTTAAACTATTGCAACTTAACACCTTTGTGTATTTACATATTCAGAATCATACTCCCTGCTTATACTGTATGGCAAAAGCAGTCCCTGCAATTGCTTTTAGTTAAGCAAAATCCCCCCCTCCCTTCAGAATATGCTCCCTGTCAGAACTCCTGCAGCTCCCCAAAAAGAAGGCACAACACTACTGCTCCAGGCTTTGTCCTGCAGCAGGAGGAACAGAGCCCAGGGATTACTCAGAATTCAGTAACTGAGTAACACACATTTCTTTTACATAGGTTTTCTTTAAGACAGCACAGTTCCTCTTAGCACACTAAATTCTATCTGGATTAGGAAATGTAAGCATTAACACCAACACAATCTTTTGGATTGTAATACCCTGATGTGCAACAAGCCATTAGTTCCCAGAGGAAACGTGTAGTTAATTTCTAGGCAAATATTCTAAGTATGGGAAATAAGGCTCTCTTCCCCTTCTGAGCTGTGTAGCTTGCGTGGACTGGCTTAACTGCACCTCTTCTGCCTTCAGCAAGATCAGTTCCAGCCATCTGAGAGTTTTGGCAGGAAGGAGGCTGAAGCAGTGCAAAATTGTCCTTACTTTTGCACAGCAGCAGTTGGAAGCTACCTCTGCCAGACCCTGCTCTGAACTAAGTCCTTGCGCAAGGTTCTCACCAAACATCACTTTCGAGGGTGGGATTCTTCTCACCTACTTCAAATTCTTCATTGTTAGAGCATTTCAGAACAAATTTCTCCATTTGACAGTTGTCAGCTCAGAATTGTTTATTGAACCGCTATTCTCTAAGACTACTAGCAGCCAAGCTGCTAAAGAACAACATTTCTTCCCTCCAATACATACACTGAGCAATCCAGACTGCTCCAGAGAACGTTTTTTCAAACCATTTATGTACTTTGAGAAGTTTTCTCCAAATCTAAAAGTATTTAAGGTCAATACCTCATGAAGACAAAGGTGCAAACAGTAAGTGATTCAAAATTAGAGGCAATTATTTGACTAGCTCACAATTAAACAAACATGACTTAAGGCATTTCCCTTCCAAACAGCTGCAATGGTGGATTCCCACCAGCTCTCCTGCAGTATAAACACAGAATGAAAAACAGCAGCCCCAGCTTACGTCAATGCCCAAAGTCAAACATATCCCCATTTTTCCAGTCGTAACTTTCGTAATTCTTACAAGTTTGTATCGTGAACCAATACATATGACAAAATAGAGCAGGAATAGGAATATTTACAACAATATTTGCAAGTCAAATAATACAAGACAAATACATTTCTGATGAGTCAAGAATTTCAGTATGACTGGGCAACATAGCTGTAAAAATCTCATAAATAGATGCAAGTGCATATATAGATTGAATTAAACTCAGACCTCTTTAGATTAGTTCTATTATAGAAAAATATATAAGCTGCTACTTAGAGAGTTGAAAGCATCCCTGAGTGCAGTTACCTCTGTTCTGGACTGCTGTTAGTGGGCTGCAAAGTTGAAGGAGCCTCTTCCGCAACCTCTGTGTTCTCCTCTACCACATATTTACAAGAAGCATCCTGCGAGGTAGACAATTTTCCTTCCTCACTACATGAAAGGAAACAAGGCATTTAATCTGTGAGTTTAATTTTTAAGTTACAATATATTTCAGACAACAGCAGAAAACAGGGAGAAGGGTTTGGTGTGTCACATGCAAATGGATTTTAAATTATGACTGGAACATGAAGATCGGGCATATGATTCTGGACTTAACAAACATTTAAGGCACCGGTGTTCAAAACCATTAAAAACTGACTGGATAAAAATGCAGGAAATACAATGATTACAAATACAACCAGGAAATAAATAAGGAATGCGTGTGAAGCCCAAAGCGATAACAATCAGGGTTACAATCCTTTACTGTACATACCGATAGGATTTCAACACTCTGAAGCCACAAGTATGCAAAAACAGAAGGAAGAAAGTATAAAAGAAATTCAAGATTCCCTTAGAAATTGGCATCGACAAAGTCTGTCCGTAAAACAAATTAGCAGAATCACTAACTCAGCCATCTCTACTCGTAAACTACCTGATGACTACACACGTATGGTGCAGTACTCATACCATCGTTTGCTCTATTGCAATTCATCAGCTTCTTCTCAGACAATGAACTGAACATAGCTGGGTGAAAAAGCAGTGCGCTCACGCTGGGAAGCACACTTGTGTTTCGCCTCTTTAGAGAAAGATAAAAGCTCTGGCTTCCCACCTCATCCCATTAATTCAGGCCCTGCTTAGCACATCAGTGTACAAAGTTATCTGTACACCAACAAGGATAAAGGGTAGCTCTACAGATGACCTAGTTGTTTTCTGCAGTCTAGTTACATTGTCAGGAACATAAAGTCATCGCTAATTTCTCTTCCTACTCTTCTCCTGCCAGTGGATCCTCTCTCTTTCAAACAATCCTTTTCTTTCCTCCTACATATCCTTAAATTTACACAGCCTATAAAATAATATTTTATCCCTGTGAACGCTCACCAACACCCATTTTCCCATCTGATTTATTACCTCATTTGTCTTAAAACTCTGTTTGAAATACTTGCCACAAACACCCAAACACCAGATCTTTTCTAAATTTCTTCTGTAATTGTTCTTGAAGAGGTATTTTCCATTCTCCTTCTCAACTTCTTCTCCCTTACGAACTAAGCTCAAAAGTCATTTTTCTCCTTTGCAGTTTTCCATATAGCAGCTCCTGTCCTTATGATGCTTCTCCTCAGCACTGATTTAACCACCATCCATCTTCTGTTGGCAGAAGCTTATACAGAACTTAGGTCTGAGAGCATCCACTTTGCCAGATACACAGGTCAGAGTATGATCTCCACTCTTAACCTAAATTGTTGTTTTGTTTTTTTTTTAAATATTATTTCCTCTGGATAAAATATTTATTTCCCACTTGCTGTTTGGGCATATTTAAAAGTAGGTTTAAAGAAAGCCACGTGAGCTCTGACCAATTACACTGTCCACACTTAAGATCTCATCCCTTCAACTCTCTTCTACACTTACCATCCCCCCTCCCAAATCAAGATCCCAGATTCATATTCCCTCCCTTTGCACCTCTCTCCTTACAGCTGAGAAGATCCATAGCTCAGGCAAGTAACTCCATGACGACAGGCGGCAACTGCCACCGCGTGCTGCCTACTCATATTAACTTCATTTTCTGCACTCTTATGAGAGGCCACAGAGCTTGTCGTTTAAAGCTGTTTAAATGTAAAAGCACCACTGATATCCAACTGTGACTGAATTGTAACAACAGAAGTGCAGACCATATAAAAGAATTCTTTAAAATTCAGAATGAACCGGAGAGAAGATTCATCATTTACTAAGTGAAAAATTCGTTCTGATTCCATGATATACCACTCCAGAGTCACACTGCCCCTCTCAACTGCCGAGGACCAATTTCTCTAACAGCCACTTGATTCTGTAAGTGCTGTGCAGTCAGAAATGCTCCCTCCCCCACATGGAAAAGCATCTCTAGGAACCTGATCTGAGTTACAATTTATTGCTTAGATATTCAAAAGGATAGAATCAAGAGTGACTGAAAGCTGTTACATTTCAATTCCCAGAGCATCCAGATTCAACTGTACTTGTCTACTAACAGGACAGCTAGAAGTAAAACACATTTAAGAAGGACAGCATAGGGACTAACTTGGGAATTTTTTTCTTTGGAAGATAGTGGGTCTATTAAACAATCCCTCTATTAAACAATCCCAGTCAATTTCTTCTCAGCATTTAAAACTCAAATAGAGACAGATACTAGGAAATATAAAAAAAAATTAGGAGAGCTGGATGCAAAATGCTAATAACACACTGACCCATGAAGATCAGAGCAGAGAAAAACAGCATCAATAGAGGCAAAAATATAATTGGTCAGACTGGTTAGCCTCCGTTTCCTTATGTTAAGTGACACCAAATAAGAAAAACATTTCATCATTAAGATTCAGTACAAGGTGGAAACAAGTTTTACATATCATGATCCTTTTGCACGTAATATGGAATATAACCATACTGTAAGGCCAGATATCAAAAGATATCGAAATTAATGAGTTGTCTGGTTAGAGACTTCTGCGTACCACCTGGAGACTGGAACAGACCTGACACTGACACCACGAGTTACCCCGGATTTCTGACTAATTACTCTCGAGAGCAGTGCCTGGCTGCCCTTCAATCTCTTCCTTCCAACCTCTTTTCATAAGAGACGGAATTCCAAATCAAATACTCAGTGCAAAGTTTAAAAAGCTTTGGCTTTGATCTACAATTGTACCATTATTTTAATGTACATTAAAATTGCATAGTAACATGCATCAGGCTCAAAATGGGGCCAGCCTTCCACTGTTAACTTTCCAATGACAATTCAGATTTGATAAGAAAAATCTTATTTTAGTAACTAACCGGAAATAAAGTTTCAAGACAGTTACATTTGGAAATGGGTTCTAGTTGAGCACTTAGGAATTATCACTTGTAACTCTTAGTGATGACAGCGTTCCATCAGCAGCACTTGTAAAACAAGAGTGGGAAGGCAATACATAAGGAGTAAACTCTCACCTTTTGAAAACAGCCGTTTCAGTTTTAGCATCTACAGTAAGGCTCAGTGTCTCCTTCATGCTGCCATTCATTACTGTTTCTGTTACCTTGTCTGCATTTTCTGCATCCTCTTCTCCATCTGAGCTGGCCTCCATAGCAACACTTCCTGGAGCTGCAAAAAACCGAGTACTTCAGTACGTGGCTGTTTATGTGGTTACTGCAATACGTTTGCTTGACCAAGATGTTGGTAGAGTAGTATGAGTATACCAAGTTTGGTCTTCTACAGCCCAATTCATTGCGTAATTTCACGCTATACAATTTGTCAGTAAATTCCCAAGTACTGCAAGCCTCTGACAAATCCAATCTTCCTTGACTTCCCATCTGCACTTTGAGTTCTGTCTGCTAATATGTACAGAAAATTAATTAATGTGGGTTTGACTTCTAATCATTTCACATAAATAGAACAAAGAGCACATGTATACATAAAAGGTAATTTCAAAAAGAAAAAGAAGAAAGGGGAAATCTGAACACTTTGAGGCTACTGGTCTATTGCACATGGGAAGAGATCAGAGGCTATTGACTATTCTTGAGCACCAGCTCAGCTAAGTGCAGCCATACGCACGGCTTCTCTAACAGAAGAGATTTAGCTTCCCTGCTCATGACAGAAAGGCTTTTTAGAGGCAGTACCAACACTGGTTTCTTTTCTAATTAGGAAAACTGAATTTCAGAATTTCTTTCCCAAGTCATTCTCATTGGCTAGCAGAAGAGCAGAACCAAATGAGAGATCTCTGGATCCAGAGTTTTATAGTTTGGTGAGGTCTTTCTTTGGTACAAGTATTAGAAATCAATCCATTTGCATTTCTGAATGCAGTGTACTCACTTTCCAGCTGTGTTGGAAGAGCAGTTGCATTTGCACTCAAGGGATCCATTGGCTCTGTGTTTGTTTCCATTTCCACGGGAGAATTACTTCTTAAGGAATCTGTCGAGCTTCAAATACAAAATAAAAATAAGCTTTACAAACAACAGAATGAGTCGTATTTGGTTCTTTCAAAGGCACAAAGCCTCAAACATCACTGAACCTGAATGACACCAAGTTCACATGAGTCTTGGCTAAGGTGTTCCAAACAGAAGTTCAGTAATGCAAAACCCAGCAGAGCATGGGGCCAACTGAGGATGTTTGGCACTGATGTTATTTGTACCTGCAAAGGAGATGCTGCAAGGCACTGAGCTATTGCTGGGTCCTCACAGTATTTCCAACATTTTAAGCTACTTTTTAAATGCACTTTTTGGAACCTCAAAAATCCAGAGTTCTCTGCTGAGACTGTCGACACAGGCCCTAATTATTGACTGCAGAAGTTGTTTTACTCTGATTTATTTGCTCAGTGGTATATACAGCACGGCTACAAGTTCTTCTGACGTGGAGCAATTCAAAATACAAATTTTGACCACTTGAAACACTTCTGTCATTTACAGAGTAGCATCTTCTCAGTCCACTGATGTGGCAACTGCATGTCTTCACTTATAAACCTTACTAGAATATGGCAACTCAAATTTTACATCCATAGGGATGATTAGGTACTCACACAGAGGACCTCAATTATTTCTGATGTACTGATCACATCAAAAGAAGAAAGTGTATATCAGGTATGGTTGAAATAGTACAGAGCTGCCTGTTCTAAATATTGTAGCTACATAACCATGTATGTGTTTTGTTTTGGTTTTTTTTAAACAAAATTTGTTTCAATCACTGACAAAACAAAATCATCAACATTTTAACTGTTCAATGTGGAAGTCATAAAAGTGCTCCTTGAGTTCGGTCTATAACAAAGAAGTCATAGTCCACACTTCCAGGCAGAGACCAATATTCAAGTATACAAATAATTTTCAAAAATCCTCTAAAACAATGACCCTTTAGGGTCCACTTATACTATAAAAGCCTATGGTTTAAATAGACCATACAAAGATCTAATACTATAAAGTGTGGGGCCTTTGAACACAGCACACACTGCATTACCAGCAAAACACCTCCAACACAGCCTTGGGTAGAGAAGCACACCCTAACAATACCAAACAGCAGTTGAACTTGCCCTGTGTCACAACTGTTCTTACCTCAAAGAGGATGTGAACTCTGAAAAAGAAGCCCAGCCAGTTTCTTTGGCTGGCATAGGTTCTTCTGTACTCCACACATCAGACCCAACAGAATCCAGATTGGTACCATGTGCAGTCTCCATGGGTACATCAAAGTTAGCTGACCAATTTGGTGCTAGAAAACCAATCAGCAAATTCATTAGGAACCAATTTAAAGAATGCAAATGTACATATGCCTAACTCTGATTTTCTATGTGCACATTCCAAAAAGAGCAGCAAAATTCTTAACTGTATTTTAAAGCACATGCAAATGAATTCTCTACACAGTTAAACTGTGAATGTATTCTTTAAGAGAAATTCTGCTAGTAAGGCAGAACTTCAAAAATGGTAACTCTCAATATTCTGAGAAAAATCAATAGCACTAATCTGAGGAACATAAAAACTGTATTGGACCACAAGTGCAGTTCCCCTTTATTCCTTAAGCTAACATTAATGGTTGCTGCAAATTTTCAGTGCTAGTTTCTACACTTAAAAAAAAAAGCACCCTCAGGTTTTTCATCCTTCTTCAGTTTCCTATGCACATTTTCCTCAACACAGAAAATGAGCAAGACAACGCAGGTACAGGCGGTCTCTAACATCTCATGCATTAGCAGCACTGCTACGTTTCAGAAAAGCTTAAAACCCCTTATAACTTTAAAATATTTACTGGGATATTAAATTTCGGAGCAGTCTGGATTTAAAAGCATCTAATTTAGGATAGGTCAATTCAAAATACTTCACCTACCCAAGGGAAACATTTTCTTCATTAACACTTACATACAAAAAAACAGGCTGAAAAGGAAGCTCTGACTAGCAATTAGAAATTCCAACCCAGGCAGATATGGGAGGAGACCCACATGGATCAAAACTTGTTTGACACACAGATGCCAACGACACCAATCTGACAAAAGAAAAGAAAACCCTTAACTATTCCTTCTATCGTAATTTTTAATTCCTTACAGTCTAGATAAACACAGGCCTTTTGCCTACAGACGTTGCCAGTTTAAGTAAAGCTAGTTTAGTTTGCAACTTGATTGTGAAAACTCTTAAGCCAATTACAACAATTAATTTTCCATGTGAGGGCCCTACTGATACACACTGGAAACAAGATCATTCACATGTGAAATGACACCAATCTAAATCCATTTCCCTTCTGAAGAATGCGTTTTAAAAGAACATTTGAAGATGAAGTGTCGGTCTAAAAAGCTTCTAGAAAGAACAACCATATTTTACACTCAGAGATAAACAACCTATCAGGTTTGCAAGCATATGAGATGCATAAATTAATTTTTATTTTTCCCATTCTGATTCCTACTCAATTTTCCCTCTTGAAGAGTACAGATGTGAATTTTAGACTCCAGTAACTTAACTCGGGACATGTAAGGAATTTTAATTTCCCAGTACCCGCATTCTCTACAGCATGCAGTCTTCACAGTGAGAGAGATTAAGACACTTGGAATAAATAACAATAGGAGGAAAGCTCTTACAAAATAACACTGCTAAATGTAGCACTTTCCTATAATTCCAAGCAGTTGGCAGAAAAGCTACATACGTTCGTTCAAGTCTACTTCCATTTTGTCCTCTGTATTGGCATGCGATTCAAACAAGTCTTGTTTTGTTCCATCCTCTTCTTCAGAGTCAGTACTTTCTTCGCTGTCCGTACTGCCCGAACTTAAAATACAAAAAGATAGTTTACATGGGATTGGATCTTGGGCACAAGAGAATGCTTGAGGCTTGATAGAACTATAACAGTTATTGTTGATGATAAATTAAGTGAAGTACAACTCATTAGCTGTCAGCATTTCCCTTACTTCTGCCCTCCTCCTCCCCCCCCAAAAAAAAAACAAAGTCCAAAGGTTTATCACTTGGTCACATAAAGAGGCTTCTTTTCCTCTGTTTGCACATAAAATAAGAGAACCTTCACTCCTACCGTGCAGAAGAGATTAGAAAAGAAAAAGGAATTAGACTTTCTCCATACACTAAACAGAAGTGCTGAACTGTAAAACTCTTTTCAAGACCAACATAAGACTACAATTTATGCTGAAAACAAACCCAAATGTATTCCAGTCTGTTCATTTACACATGTACTTTGAACCCTAGAGGCAAATCTCCCTTCCAGGTGAGCACAACCAGCATTAACAGTTAAGAAAAGTAACGACATATCTAAGCACATGCTTGAAACACATCACCTAAGTATATACAACGCCAGCATACAGAACAAGTGCTCATGTAGAGGAGGTCTTAGCCCCACACACTCCAAAGGCTACAACAGAAAAAGCACACATGGTTTGGGACTTAAATCACAGGAAGGTCAGAAAAGCCAAAGCTACGCTGGGACAAAATTCAGAAGCCATGGGAAGCTGAGTAGCCCTGAGAGTTTTGGGGCACAGATGCTCCTTTCCCTCAAGGCAGCATATATAATTTTATCCACAACTGCAGTATGAATAAGGGCAACTATGGCAACGGAGGTGGATACTCTGATTTTAGTAGCACCGTAGAAAAGATAGCAAGGTCTGTCTACACAGGTAGGGACTGCCTTAGACTGGGATGCCTTGGGCTGAACAGAGGGAAAGAAAAAGGAAATAAGCTGAGATGCAGAAAGAACTGAGTAGTCAGGACAGCAATATTAAGCAAACTAAGGCTTGAACAAAGACACAATAGCTATTCCTCTACCAACTTCTCCAAAGAAAGGAAGTTAAGCTGGACTGCCCGTGCAAACAGCCAACCTGAGCCAGAATTTGTACTCAGTGGGAGGGCTTGCTATAGTGCTGAACACAAATGTCCTACCTGGAACGTCTCTGGGACTCTGGTGTGAATGCAATATGTTTTTCTTCCCAGATGTCTTCTTCATCAGAACCACCATCATCAAACTGCTGTATCCGCTCCTTACAGCATGCCTCAAACAATGCTATATTGCCCTAAATATAGGAAAAATATAAAAGTCTCTTTATGATTAATTATTCTACTTCAGTATTTTGGAAATACGTGATTGGTTTGAAAAGAATCTTGAACTAGTGGGGAAAAAAAGCACCTTCTGGAAAACCAGAAGGCATTGACAACTTAAAGCTCCTCAGGAAAGCGTACAGTGGAACTTGTTTTAGTCAACTGCTAACACACAGAGTGCACTCATCCAAGAGCTGCTGGGAGGCTCCATCACAATTCAGAACGGCGTGTAGGAATGACATCAAAAGAGCTTTCCACAGAACTGCACCACCAAATATTCCAGCTTTATTTTCTGTAGCAGGGTTCATTTCAGCTCAACTGACATACAGAACATATGCTAGAAGTCTCTATTCTTCACTTCCTGTCACTGCTATCTTGCCAGAATGCTGAAACAGTGTCTATGCTCATAACTCACGTGCAGTCTGCACTGACTAGATCCAAGCTTGTTCTTGAACCTGGACACACAAATTAGAAGCACTTGCTTAATATTAACCATAAGGAACAGTAATAAAGTAATCTAACTAGAAAATCCCCACAAGGCAGGAATAAGGTGTTGTTACTTTCCTAAGGTTATATATACATCATAAAAGAATAAACAAAAGCCACCAACAAAACTTAAAGGTCACTCAGAAATTTAAGAGATGGTCATTTTTGTGCAGGCACAGGAATGCATACTTACACTTTCATTTGTATTGAGGGTAAAGTTGATGTCTGAGACCCGATCAAAAGAAACACTGCAAAATAAACGATGCATGAAATACACTAAGAAAGGATGATGTTATCACACGAGGACGTCATTTTCACAAGTCCTTACTTGCACTATTAGACTAAGAAAGTGAAAAATCTTAAGAAGCAGTCATTTCCAACATGAAACCAAGCACACAAGTTCCATTACAGAAGTCTGTCGTTCCTGAGGTTTTTTCAGCTGTGAAGTATTTTAAAGATACATCTCTATCTAAATCCTCCAAAGATCTCGTTAGCAGGTCTTTTATCTGACAACTGATTTCACCTCTTTACAGAAGGTCCTTCTTAACAAGAAGCAGCAATATGAAAAATTAACATCAGTGTTGTCTTCAGAAAACCAAAGTTGAATAGCTCTGTTTTTTTAATCCACTGCTGAAATCAAACCTTCCTTCCCCCGAGCTGCACATTAAGTTGGAGGCTTCACAGTTCTCCAAATATCAAACTTTCCAGCAGTTTTACCAAACTAATTACAGATATGGCTTAGATCAAAAATAACACCACCCAATCGAATCTCTGGGGGAGGCAAGATAACAGAAAGAGGAAGGATAACCTAACTAACTCTCAGAAGAGTTAATACATTCCCTGGTCACAAACAGCAATGAATTCAGAGCTACCTTCTTCCTCTAATCCTTACAGACCAACCAGGTACAAGACCAGAGATCCAAAGGACCAAGTGTTAGATGTGGCTGCACTACCATGGGAGCTGCCCCCACCCACCCCAGGAATCACCACCTAGCTAGAAGTTGCACTAAGCAGGTAATTTAAACTGAAATTGATTCTTGCACAAGAGGCATAATCTTGAAGTAAAAGGCAGTTAATCTACAACTGAATTAGACTCAGTATACCTACCATATACCTCAAGGGCTCACTGAGTCATCTTCCTTCCACCAAGACCATACACTACAAAGGAGTTCCAACCCCCATCCTTGCCAAAATTCACTTGCTTCTAGCTAAAGTTCACAGTATCCTGAGCTACTTTCTCACCCACCTAAACTTCATTTATCCTCCCAGATGACGTGGTGTAATAAGGCAGCTCTGCTTCTTGGAAGGCATGTGCAAGTTTCAGGTAGCCATCAGTTACTAACCACGTCTTACAAAAGAGTAAAAGATCTTCCATTTCATTGCCTTTTTACACTTGAACAAACCATCATCAAATAACGTTTTTACTGCATCTCCTTCCATCCCAAGCTATGAATTCTAATTAAATTAGCACTGCTTTCAATCAGAACTCCCATTCTTTCCTCATTATGCATCAGTTTACTTTGAATTGAAAAAACAGAAAAGTTTGTCATAGTTTTTGTTTTGTCATCTTTTTCCAGTTGCTTTTGTTGTTTATAAAACTTGACCAAGACATGTTCTTACATCTTAACTGCTATGTCCTTAGAAACAAGGGTAGATCTATAATGCCCTTCCTTAGTTTCCCCTACAGGAAATAGGGCATGGATTCCTGCCACCTTCATAGGAAAACTTCTAAGTAGAGCAACTCATCCACTCTGCTACACTGATTCAGAGGGGTCAATGACTCTCTGTGCCCGCAAGCAGAAGCGCTCCCCAATAAAGCCAACTCATTGGTCATACATGGCTTTTAAGAGCAGAGCTACAGTTTTTCTTCACTCACAAGCTTTATGTTTTCACGTTGGCCCAGTCAGGGCACATCGAGTGAAAGATCAGCTGTTGCTTTCCCATATAAACTGCTCAGAGAGGCTTTTTAAGAGCACTCAAACACATTTTGGTACCAGAAGACATGACTGATAGCCAACTGCATCACATGAATAAAGGTTGGTATTTGTCATCACCAAAACCACAGCAAAAAAGAAAAAGAAGTTCCAGAGACTACAGTCAAAACCAGCACAATAATATACTCACTTGCCGATGTCATCTTGATCAGCAAACTTCTCATCGTTGAAGCCAAACTGGTCAATAAAATTGGACGTCATTTGTTGCATCTGATAATCAGAAAAGGCCTGGCAACCCCAGGACCAACGACAGTGATATAATGATTCTAAGAATACTCTAAATCCTATTTGCCCATTTTGCTCCAAAGAAATAAAAGTCTTTCTAATCTAAACATAAGAGACAAGAAAAGGATCCACCATACCCTTGGAATTTTAACGTTAATACTAACTACGTGCCTTACATTTACTCATTTGAAAGCCAGCCTAATTGCAGCTCTTAATGAGAAAGTTAAATCTCTTGTTTAACCATGTGTTAACCAGCACCCTTCCAAATCATACCCTTAAGAAGCAGGGGAGCAACACAATGTGCTTGGTAAAAGAAACAAATGCTTTTCTTACTATGAATATTAAGATATGAGCAGAAAAAAATGCAGAGGAGTACATTAACTGGAGATACTAAGTTCATCGCTAGCTGTATTGCTCATACATACACACTAGTGGTGTCTCTTCAACATCTAGAAGAAACTGAAGAGCACACACAGTTATTTAACATCCCACACATCAGTGCAGTGTCACAAATTTATTTTTTTAAAAAGGATGTCAGTGCCAAATGCCAGCAGACAGGTGTACCAGGACTATGAACTAAATTAGTGCTCATTCCCCTGGAACTGTTAACAGTGTTATTTCTGTGTGTAAAGTCAGCCAAGGTCAAGCTACTCCAGGAAACATGGCTGATGTCAACTCTCTCGTTGCCTTCCCAGGTAGCCGAGGGGTCACAGCATACAGGCAGAACCTCTAAAGAAGGTGGTAAAGCAGAACAAGGTGAATGTAGAAAGAAAACAAGAGAACAGCGAAAAAAAAGTTTGAATTAAGGCAGGAAACAGAAAAATGATGGCTATGAGGCAAACAGCGAGATACCATCAGGCTGAGAGTGAGTCTGAGAAACAAAACCCTAATGCAGGCACCGGTACGTAGCATTACTATGCTATGCCAAGCCAAAGCAGGAACTCTTGTATTTTGATCTTAGATTTTAAAATCTGTGAGTATTTCAGAACTTAATGATTTCATACCGACACAATTCATGTATCAGACTTGCATAGGTTAACTATCAATTACTGACTGTCCCACTAAATCATTAATCATCTTTATGCTGGTTACTGAGAATTCTTCTTGTAAAGTATCTTCGCTATTATGGATGTTAAAAGCACATGAGTGAAAACACAGGGTGCAGCCATTGATGCCAGTCACCAGGATAAACAGAAAATTAAGACATGAGCATCGTGACATGGAAGGATTATGAAACTCCTTTGGTCACTACATCAGAATCGTATACAACAGTATAACAAAATGCAATTACCAACTGCTTGTGTGCCTAGGGCAGGACATAATCAAATATGTTTGAAAAAGAGACAAAAAGCAATACTAAACTAGTGCAGAACAAAAGAACAGTGGAAGAGTTTCTACAGCCATAGCAAAGCAGCACATGAAATAGTAATGGCACAAGAAACATTACATGCCAGGCTTAGCTGTCAGGAAGACATCTTTATCAAAGACACCAGTTCTGAAGTGCTCATCAGAAACTTGCATTAGAAATGTCTGAACGAACATTTCTTTTGGGCACAATGGGGACTTATTAGAAGTACAGCATCAAACTAAATTTGGATGCAAGTGTAATTCTGCATAAACAAAAGTTAAATTTGACAAAAAAAAAGTAAAGGTAAACAGGTTCCTTAGTATTTCCCACTCCTCACCTACTTCCTAATGGGTACCCTCCTGATCCCCCCTTTTACTTACTGGTCTACAGAGATGATGCTAGCTGTAGCCAGTTACCTTTATTCGTTGAAGAATGCTTTAAGTAATTTCAATGCATTTCCTATCAGTGACTTATCTTGTCTTATATCTTGCTTTCCTCACAAGACAACTTTAAAACATACAGTTTATTTAGCTAAGGAAAAAAATATATATATATAAAATATTGTTTCCTTCAAGTTATTCACTGTAGTACTACCTGCATTTCTGGAGATTAGCTACCTGGATTATTAAGGGGTGCATGAGAAGCACAGAGTTGCTTTGAGATCTCACTTTCTCACTAGAGCTGCTTCAGATGGCATCCAACCTATCATGCTGGTATTCAAGCAGACCATACATGCACAAGACCCATGGAGCAGATAAAAATGAAACTAATTCTGTAAAATTTGAGCCACCACTCCCAATTCAAACCTTGAAAAGCAATTACTTATCATTAAAAGTATAGAAAATGTGTGAAGTACCAAAGCCAGAGTTAGACTAGGTACTAGACAGCTGTCTGTATGAGCTGAAAGAAATATGATTTGGATTAATATTCTAGACAAGTTGTGTGCTTTGTACAGGGCATTTATGGGTAGTCTTGCATGACAAAACTACCAACCAGCAGCTGCCTCTCTTTCACCATCCATGGAAGAGTTAAAGGAAATTTATATTGCAGACAGTATTATTAGAAAAATTCTGTCATGCTTCATAAAAATGGTACCGATGTACTCCATAATCACTCATCCCAAAAACACTCCAAATGCCATCACCATATTAAATACGGAGTTATCAATTACTATGAAAGCATTAAAGCTTCAAGGTGGACATAGCTGTGATTTAAGCTGTCAGTCTGGTGGGCCTGAAACTTCCTTACAGCCTCAGGTTTAATTTTTTCTTACATTAAATGATAAATAGCTATCTTTGAGACACTCACAAAGGAGCTCTCAAAAGCACATACTGAATCCCAAGTAAATGATCTAGCACATTAGAAATTTAGTTCAGGAAGATTTAGCTCTGTCCATCTGCCCAGTAGCAAGGGTCTACAAAGTTAAAACCATTTCAGCTGCTTGATACAATCTGTCACAGAACTGTTCTTAGCTGGCTCTTCATTTATACTGTTGTGACAACTGCAGCTCTTCACATTTTGCCTTAAACTAAAAGCATGCAACAATGTGTAGCCAATCCTCCCCCCTTCCCCACTGAAGCAAGGATCAACATGTTAAGAAAAATGTATTAACCAAGACCCAACAGAACCCCAACTCTGATTTCACAGCAATTAATATTTTCCAGAAAACAAATAATATCACCATATCAGCCTTCTACATCTAGTAAGAACAACGGTCACAGAAACTGTGTTCAGCTCAGCCAGAGAGCTAGCATAGGAAATGGCTTAGGTGTAACGAGCAGAAATCTGCATACACAGCTCCATCTCAGTTTAAAAACCTGAAGGCCTGAGAGGTCATGCTGTGTGCTAGAAGTCACATCTATGGGCTCAATAAAGTAAATGTGTATGTGAGAACACATTCTAAATAAAAGAATCTATTGCAAGCAATACAAATCTAGAAGGATTATTTCCAGGTGTTTGGTTTTTGGGTTTTCTTTTTTTTCTTTCTTTTTTTTTTTTTAAGATAAGAACAACTTATGCAGCTAAAAGAGTTCAACTCACTTGCTGCAAAGAAGAATCCTGTGAGAAGCCAGTTTCTTTGAAGTCAATCTCATCATCACTGGAAGAATGAATGTGGCAGGTAGTAACCTATACAAAATAGAGTCATTTGCTTATTGTGTGACAATTTCAAATCCAAACAAGAAACTGAATTAGTTGCAGTTTTCTCAACTGCTATACTACATAAAACAGACCCTGACATATTTCAATATCATTAACCTATACCTGAGAGAACTTGAATCTTGTATTTTTATTGTAAGATATGTGAACTAATAGCCACTAGAAGGCTGGATTATACACAGATCTTCCTTTCCAAAGGAAAGAACACAGGAAAATGAAAAGACTGTCTCAGGTGTCTACAGTATTTGCAAAAATAAAGTTAACCAAGAAATGATTCACCTTCAAAAATTCATAATCAACGTCTGCTTACAGAAGCAAACGTGGAGTTATTACCATAGCAACAACTGTTTGAACCATTACCCTAAAAAGAAGGGACGATTTTGATCACGCAACACAGAACCAGCGGGAATGGTTTCTTCCTTAAGCAGCAGTGTGGCTGAACTTGTTCTTGGAAGTAGCTATTTTCTATCAGAACAGCACTCCGAAAGTAATTTCAGCCAGGACAGCAATTAGGCAAAGTAACAGTAGTTACAAGAAGTAAGGCTAAGTAATAGTAGTTACAGCTGAGCCTTAAGACACGCTTTATGGACAATCATTTCTATGAAGCAGATGTGGAGATGACAGCTTGCTCGGTACTGTACTACACTGCCTTATTGCACACACCCTAGAACTCCATGGTACAGATTCTCAAGTAAACATAGTTGGTTGATGTGATTTTTTTTTATTTACTGATCTTTTGACAAGAGATCCGTCTACACAAAAGCAGTGTTTAAACACAGAAAATGTAAAAACTGCACAGACACCTTCTCATGCTTCTGTAAATACAATACCACAGTCAGGACAGGCACACAACAGACAAATGACAACTTTTTCCTGAAGTATACTCTGTTTCTATGATTTCTCCTTTCATGTGTAACACTTACTTAAAAGCCACACGTTCTGGGGTGCTTTATTCTTGTATGCCTGTCATCCAGCCCTGCAATACGATTTGCAGACTGGAAGCACCTGATTTCACTCAAGCTACCTTGGTAGCCTGGCAGCAGGAAAGACTGACTGTACTAATGACAAGAAAAAACAACAACGGGGCTGAAGCAAACAGCAGACATTTTTTAATGTTAACCAACACCACTTACTAGATCCACTGTATTCCTTTTGTTAGTTTCCCCTAAAGAGCTTGTACAGAATGTTTCCCACCGCTCTCTGACCTCCTCTGGAAGCTCTAGGATAGGAAAGAGAAAAACAATGTAATACAATCAACATCACCATTTTTAATTGTTCGTTTTCTCTTATAAAACAAAGCAATCAAAAAACAAATACCAAAGGCTTATGGATGACTTCATCTAGCAAAGAAGTCCTAACTAGGCAGGCCAGCATCTCTTTACATTTACTTCAAGGAGCTTCGATACCATTCAGGTAAGTTTGAAAGAGAATTAAACATCTGTTTAAGCTAAATGTGTCAGAAATATTTTCTTTTTTAATCTAAAATCCGCCTTCTAATTTAAGTTTGATTGATTTCCTAAAGCCGTGATGCTGCAATTCACAAACAGAAATGCAAAGAGCATTAACATTACCTTTAATGAGCTGTTGGACTAGCGTGCTGTTAGGGCCCTTATCTGTACTATGCACAATACAGTTTGCTATCCTTGTCAGGTGACCCATATAGCCATGCCGTCTTCCTCCTTCAGCCCTGCAATAAACCACAGAAATGGAACTGCATGCACTCTGAGCAGCTCTGCTATTGTAGTTTGTTACAAAATATTCTACCAGAGTTAAGAACTTATACAAGACAGACAAGTTAACCTCCAAGTTCTCAAAATGTAAGAGCAGTATCCTAAAACTAGAGGTACACAAAAATACTCAATTTAAAATACAAGTGTTCAGATTACATTGAGCATCCAGAAGACTAACAGGGCTGTAACTACCAAGAAGGAAGTACAGAGCATCTGAACAGATCATTTCTGTTTTCATGTTTGTGTGTGGGGAAAAAGAATATGCTGTGTTGCCAAGATGAAGACAAAACTGACAACACATCTGTAATATTCAGAAAAACACTGCTGCTGAGAATATTTTTCAGCAATCCTATACACTCTGAGCACTCTGGTGCATTATCTGTTAGGATATTATGTAGGTCGCTCTGAAAGTAATGCTTCCTATTTATTTCCATGGAAACTAAAACAGATACAAAGAACAAATCAATTTTTTCCACACAGAAGCAGAATCAGATGTTTATACCAACAGCTTTCCCAGTAATACCACAAACACACAATAACAAATAGGTAATGAACTCTCCCACGTGGCAGGCATTAAAATCAAGACAATTCAATCAAAGAATAGTTTTAGGTTGCATGTATAGAAATGAGGAACTATCTGTTCACAGTCTAGGTTAGTAGTTCTCTTATAACCTCAGGAGATAATGATGATATTTAATAGAAGTTAGGTGGGACAGCCTGATCTAACTAAGCCACAATCCCTATCAGTTGCATCCCTTTCCTTCATAACACTCTCTTCAGATATTTCAACATCCTTATTTTTAGGTCAGCTGCACTAGTCATGTATTTTCTGATTCACACCAGATAGGAATAGGACTATTTTGGGGAATGGTGCTGTTTCTCAAATAATACACCAGCAAACCAGCAACAGTATCCCAGTCAGCTAGCTCAGTATTTTCACAAGTTAGCTCTAACATTCACTGTTCAGAAATCTCCCAAGCCAAATACAAGAGCCTTCAGAGCACCATTATACCACCTCAGGTAAAGACTGGAAGGTTTTCCTCATAATACAAATTCAATTTCAGACAGTACTGGCTATCTGAAACTTACATCCTTTCCACAATCACACACTTCCAGAAGGTATTCCATTGCTGAGATCTTCACTTTTGTTACCTGTGAGTCTGTTGCTCCCCAAAACATAATATGCTTTGACCTGTTTATTAGTTTTCAATTGCTTACTGGAGAAAAGCGTGTTTTTTCTCCCCCATTCCTTTAAAACTTCATGATACGTTTCTGTAATTGAAGGTGGGTAGACTCAACTGGCTGATGTAACATTTTACACAGTGTAGGAACTACAGACTTGGTTCTACCCCATATGTTAATGGGAAAATGTCTTCAAATGCTACCATAAAGATGGCCTAAACTTCAGGCATTACTAAAAGAGAAACTGAAGGATTCTGAAAGAAAATTCGGTACGTGTGAAAGCTTTAATCCAAATATTAACTGTCTGTAGAACTTAATTATTCCATTTACTACCAAGCAAACTGTACTTCCAAATAAGTATTTAATGCACTGCATATTTCAGGAAAGAGATGCATTTAGATGCATTTGTCTTTAAAATATTTTAAGCAAGTGTATTTGTTGGTCAGCTTAGCCTGAATTGATTGTGCATACATTTCACAATTAAAATTGTATTTAGACAACTGCAAGAAATGAGAAAATTAGTTACTCACTGCTTCTTCTCATTCATCTCCCATGCTTCAAGTATTCGTTCTATTAATTGGCACTTAAGGAAGAGCTGTGGAATAAAACGCAAAATATACTTAATAGCTGTAAAGTTAAATGGAACAACACTATGCATTTCAGAGCTGATTTTAAGAAATCCTCATGTCTTACAAGGCAACTAGTTTCATGGTTCAGGATAGATACTTGGATTAAGGGTTTCAGTGCTCAGAAGCAGCAGCCAGATCCCAGGCGGAAGCCTGAATGCTGAAACTACATTATTCTGACTTCTCTTTGATGGTAGCTGCTGAATTGCAGTAGTGAACAGACACTGAAATAACAATTTTAATTCTTAACAGTAAGAGGAACTTCAATTAAAAGGGAATTCTTGCAGCTCTACACACACTTACTCTGAAGGCAGCAAAACCCACTTTGTGGCACTCTCAGGTTTAACAACCAGAAATGACATGTTAAGAAAACAAAGACCAAAGAACTCTTAATTCTATATGAAGTAAAATTGAGTTATGTTTTATGTAAGAGTAACTGCTACCATATTGTGGGGGTAGGAATATTCAAGAAACTCCTTCCAAAAATACAACTTACATGTTTCAATAAAAGATTGTCCCCAGTGGAATCCTGATCTGTAATTGTGCCATTTTCTGTGCTTTCAAGAGGACTTGCAAGAATCAATGCAATACAGATTTCTACTTGAGTATGCAAAAAGTTATTCCACGTATACTTAAAGAACATGTCCTGAAAAAGAAATTCAATAGGGTTTATACAAAGCAGGGTCTCTTCAAACATAAGACTTACTCCAGCAAGTAATTTGAACAGCAACACAAGCAAGTTCTCCAAGTTTTGCAATAACTATCACTGTGCAAGCAAAAGTGTGATCTACAAAAAAGTTATTTCTTCTGCTTACTGCATAAGGACTATCATGCTGGATGAGAGTAAAAACTCAGCTAGAGTTAGCCTGGGGGTAACCAATAGTGCACTTTCAGACAAAGAAAGCTAAAATGATGCTCCCCATTAAATTCTGTTAGCAGCAGTCCCTGAGAAAGTAATGCCACTTATGACCTTTTTAGCCGTGAACTTTTTTTTTTTTTTTTGAGTTCACCACAGACTTTTAGTGCCTCCAATATCCTTCAGTGACATGCTTCTGTCCTTTCTGTCTTGAGACACTTTACAAGAAATTACATCTAACTGCATTGAATCTACTATCTATACTAGTTTCATTCTTCTCTTACAGAAAGCTGTCTCAGATAATCCAGATGCAATTTGGTGTTGTTTAATGCTTCACACAAGACAAATACTGAGGTTGACAGATCATGAATTGTGTTCATCTAGTCATGTTCCTAGCTTGTCACAGATCTCCTTTTAAGCATCAGATTTTACTTTTTTCTTTTTTCCAAACTTTACGTCCAGCCACTTTAGACTATTTCTGACTACAAAACTCAAATGATTGCTGTCCCAGGAAAACAAGATTAGTAATGGAAATACATGCAGCGATGGAAGGAGCATTAAATAACATAATTCAAGCCTCATTCAAGCTACATCTAAAGAACCTAACAGCTCCCCTTCAGCTCTCCTAAACTAATGACACCCTTGTCTAAAACTAAGCTACTGATGTGAACAATTACTATTCCTAATAAGATCTATGCAGCAAAGTACATGTTGTTTCAGAAACACCATGAAGCACTGAAGTTCAAGGCAGGCACCACTGGTTTTCCTTAAAAGAAATCTGTAACTGAAAAGCATGTTCAAACTCACTGAATTTAGTTGTTTTTTTTTTCCTAAACCTACTCATAAGAACAATCAAACATTCACAGCACATGTATTCCCTTAGATAACAGGAATCCATTTCAGAATGAAGTTAGCTATTTCTATACACTTTAATGCCTGCCTGCAATCCCAGGCTGGATAGAGAAATGGAGATGGAGACACTGAGAAGACAACAAAACTACAGATACTTCAGTTGAAGGAAAGATTTTAGATTAAATCAATCTGAGGCTGAAAAATATTAATATTTTAAACTTTGCAATTACCTGTTTAGAATCAGAAGCTTTCATCATATTCTGATACTACAATATGAATTCCGGCATGTTTTGCAAAGTTTTTGTTAACTGATCTCAAAATTGGAACACTTTGGTCAACCTAAGAATTTCCCTGCTGCAGTAGAAGAGTGAGGTGGGAAGTAGTCAAAGCAGAGATGGCAGATTAGCAAAAAACAGGGAGCTCATTAACTACAAGTTTCTTGAGCAACATTTTGCTTGCAGTTTTGAAATTCTATAAGCTACCAACAGTAACTTGTCCCTTTACAAGAAGGCACTGAGATAGCATATAGGGTGCTACACATTAGAAGAGGGACAGAGAAATTGAGGAACTAGCTCAGCAAAAGAATGACAGGGAAGCTTTGAACACAGCTGAAAACTCAAGCACATAGAGCTGAAAAAATAAGCTTAAGAAAACCAGTCCAAGAGAATCATGCAGATTTACGAAGGTGGAAAGAGTAAGATGAGCAGGAATGATCAGAGGAAAGAAAATGCTAACTTCAAACAAACACATTTAACAGTAAAACTAGAAATTGAAAGCTGTCAGTGCAATAGAAGCTACAAAACAAGTTGAAAAGCTGGAAACGATATCATACCTGCATCAACAAAGATCAAAAAAGTCCTTATTAGCAACTCACAAAAGTAAGGCAGCATGAAGTTCTTACCAGTATAACTCCTATGCTGTTTAGTTCTATAAGCTCCTGATTCACACTGCTTGTATTTGTCTGTAGGAGGCTAGATATTAATCTAATCACATTTAAACGTGTGTTCCCCACAGGTGGATCCAATACACCCCACGTTGTCTTCATGACACTTTTCTGGAAAAAAAATTAAAGAGGCACAGAATCATTCAAATTTTATATTAAAAAACAGCAGAAAAATAAACCCCAAACAGCTCATTACTATTATGCACAAAAATTGCAGGAAAGCAGTTTTAAATCCTGAAAACTAAAGTTTATTTCAACTCTACCTATAGACAAGGAGCAATGGAAAACAGCCAAATAAAAGCAAAGACACTAAAAATTGCTTGGTAGCTACAGAATATTGGAACAGATGCATTCCACAAGAAGGAGTAGGAAATACACTTCTCACTCATTAATCCACATACTGAGTTACAGTCTGCATTACTATAGTACTCGAAAACAGCTAGGTGGACAGTCTCTAAACACACATTATGCCTCAGCAATCCTGATTTCATTTACATGATTTCAAAAGTTTCTCTTGGTGCATTCTTCTAATGTTATAAACAAAACAGGCTCCATCCATGGTGTCCTAATGAGTTACTTCCATCAGCAACAACCTCCTTCCATGCACTAACAGGTCTTCACTTTACAATACGTGCCATAGCTTTTACATCAAAGTTTTAGCTGGCTGCCAGATCAGACGTGCTATCACACAATTAATTATCAGCCAATCAGAGAAATCTAGTATTGACTACTCCAAGAGAAAAGTCTAGTAGCAACAACTATGCCACGAGCAAGGTGAAGTTATGAAGATCTCTTTCTTCCTATATTAAAGTACTTAGAGAAGCAGGCCACAACGAAGCGTACTGCCTTCTACAATGACTAACTTTATTTTTTGTCTAACTATTACTTCTCCCTTGTGTCAAAACTGACTGACATCACATTAGGTCATTCAGCCCAGTCTTTAACGCAAAATTTAAGGGCACGGATACAAAAAGGTGCTCATTTCACTAGTGCTTAAAGAAAGCAGACTTGATAACTTCATTAGATGATTTATTTAAATGCTCAGCATTCCAAACATTGTTGGCAAATACTCACATTCAGATCTATGTTGAACTAAAAGCAATGTATCTTGCCACATTGTTTATTTCAAATCAAGACAATTTCTTTGTATTTTTCAACTCTTCTGCACTTGAATATCTGAGGTCTCATCTCTTCTAGGCTACAACAGCCTTTACCACTACCATTTTCCCCCCCATCACCCTCATCCCAACTCATTCCTTTTATCTGACCTTTTATAAACTCCTGATGGCAATTTTAACTCTCATTCTCAGGTCTGTTTCTCCTACAGACTGTAGCACCCTGACCTGAACCATGCTCCAACTGAAATCCTACTGGTAATAATTGTATGGGGAAAAAAAAGCACAGATAAAATATCTATTCATACAGCTGGTTGTATTTATCTTTAGCAACAGCATGACATGGGTATGTTGCTTATCATAAAAAAAAGTTGAACAAAGCAGTATTCAGTATGCTTGGAGTGCATGGTACATGCAAAAGAGCTGGTCTACTCTTAGACCTGCACAAGTCTAGAAGAACTCTGCACAGCCAACACGAGGCCTGCACAAGTTCCTGACAACTGAGGCAGCCAGAATCCTTGTTCCCTATTCAGATAGGATTTATGGGGCTGAAAACAGTACTGACTGCCAAAAATAGAAAGAAAAATCTTATTTCCTTGCTTTCAGAAGGAAGTAATCATCAAGGCTACTTGCCAACTGAATAGAGTTTAAGCTGGAAAAGTGTATCAATTAGCAAAAAATATTGGCTCAGAGACAAATATAATGAATAGAAAAGGTCACAAGAAACAGGGAAGGAACCTGGGCTCTTGCCTGAAATTTGTCAGACAAACTAGGCTTTGTTCTTGAAACCCAACTAAAATACAATCACGCAGTGACAGTCTTGCTTCAAATTCTTTGACAACATAATGTTTCACTTACTTTTGGAGGCTCAAGTAGGAGTTCATGGAAGGATGAAAGTCGTGCTTTTATGGCTTCTAGAACACTTTTATTGACAGAATACGTTGAATTGCTTATGCCTGGAGGACAGATCTCTATATGGCCTTCAAATCTAAAGCACACAAGCCATGTCTGATTATTAACACCAAAACTAGTTCTAAAACAACACTAAGGCATAATTTTCAGCATCACTATTTTGAAGACATAAACAGAATGAAGAAGAGAGCAAGAACATGATCTTACAAATATAAAATCAAGCACAAACTTATGGTGGAGCAAGATTCTTCCAAACGCTAGACCTAAGGTACCTACGTGTATCACATTTGAGATGTCCAGCATGGTTTTCAGCTGCTGATAGACTATTACAGCTGCTATATTCCCTCTTCTGTGAGGAAGAGCTTCACTTGTCTATTAAACAATCAAACCTCTGTTCACTAGTTTCTCAAAGTGAAGTTGTAATAGAATTCTAAATAACTTTTTTTTTGAGGAAGTTAATATCCAATTGCTACACTGTACATAGGTGCTCTATTCCTTGTTTCTAGGAAAAAAAAAAAGATGAAATGAAACGAGTCTGATCTGTCAAGTGGCAAGTTCCAAGAAAAAAAACCTGCAGAAAAATCAGTCATTTGGGGAACTGATCGATACTGGCATTATTACACATGGCTCTTTGTTTCACTTCAGCTGTGATAGACCACTAAAACATTTCAGTCAAGGACACAGAAGGCATTTCAGCAGTTGAGTTAAAGTAAGCAGGCATAAGTAATAAGAACACTTACGTCTGTCGTCTTGTCTCAAGCAAGGTCAGTAATATTTGGATTGCACTGACTATTGCAGATTCATTTTTTTCTTTATGAAAAATATTAGACAGCAGCTGCTCAATGATTTCTCGTCTGAAAACAAAGCACTGCCATCAGACACAACAGTTCTTTATGACACAGTTATCACAGAAAACTAGTTACTGTTTGCTCATGTCAAATTAACGAACAGGATAAAGTGAAATATTATTTCAAGCTATTAGGTGTTGTTACCACAATCACCTCCATCATTACCACCACAGTAAGATTTCCCTACTCCTCCTGATCTTGTTTGGTTTTAAATCTGACAATCAATATGATAGAAAAGGATAGATTGCACTCAGACCAAAAGACCACTTCACCATGTCACACAGCCACAAACCTAACCCTAGAACCAGCAAAACAAAGGCGATAGACAGAAATCTTCTCAAGTACAATCAAACACTTAGATTAACTTAAAATAACAGATCAAAGCCAAAGTTCCCAACGTATATTCTGCACTGTATCAAGCTGACCTCTATATGTTCAATCCCATTAACTCTGACAGAGCAGGAAATATCCTAGTCTAACATCCCGTAGTCAGAAGCAAGGTACAAGAATGGGACAAAATGTTAAGAGAAGCCATCAGGGAATTCATCCAGGTGAGCTGTGCTTATTTGCGAAGCTATTTTAAATTATACAGATAATAACAGGCAGTTAGGAAAAGTGGAGCTTGCAATTCCAAAGCTTTTAAAGGACAAATGTTAAATACTGCTCTGATTAACTGAAAAAAAAAATATCAGAAATTGGGCAAACCAGCTTACTTCTCTAGACTTGCAAGCAGGGGATCTGGTTCTGAGCTGTTTTGTACTTGTAACATCTGATCTCTGCTTAAACGAATAATTTCACAGAGTGACTGTGATGCATTTGAATGTCTCTGGAACAGAAAAATATAGCATCATTAGATTAATAACATGGCAGAGTAGAATTCCTCATTAAAATAACCTGCAAAACTGACAGTCTTTTCTACCACAAAACACTTTAGACAACTATACTATGCCATATCTAAATCTTAACAAGACAAAAAGCTTTTGGTATCAAAAGTATTTTCAGTACTAAAAAGGCAGAACATTAGAGCTGAATACTCAAAATAACATTTACTCTACACTGTGCTTTGACCCAATCCAATACACTCTGCAAATCCCAAAGAAAGAGGGGAAAAAAAGCAAGCCCTTCCCAAGCACAAACTACTACACTATTAAATACTGGAGTTAGCTTGCTGAAAATAAACAAGCAGAAAACAGTCCAACTAGAAGAGTTCTAACACTACCGTACAGCAATCAAAAAGAACATCAGACCAATACTTACATCTTCATCTTGAGATGGATGTACAATTTCTACAAGCCGTTGGATAATCCTCTCTTCATTTAGCCACTGTAAAAGCATTTGTGGACATTGGTAAGAATGTCCAAGTGAATGAATTTAATCGAGGGAATTAAAAGTAGTTTGAAAAGTGCCCTGAGTCATGCTGTTGATATTTCTAAACAAGGATTAACAGCACTTCAGAGAAAAAGGACAGAAGCAAAATTAAGAGTTCATGAAGACATGTAAAACAAACAAACCCACAGCCTTTGATAATCTCTTCCCAAAATGCCTAGCAGGGTGTTACGGGTCAAAACAGTATAAGCAGTCTTAACAGGTTATGAAGTATTTTTTGACAGTTCAGAAGTCAGACAAAAACTGTGGCAAGTTTTACTCACATTCAACACTTCTTGCCTGGGCTGTGGAGGTTCTATGCAAGTCAGTAGCCTGAGCAGCAAGTCCATGATAGCAGAGGTCCCTATGTGCTTAATAACGAGGTCTACAAAATCATGTTTCTTCTTTAAAAAATCCACAATCTAGAAATGAACAAAGCAGCTTACATTTGCTTACCTGTATTTTACATGGTAAATTACACTAACCAGATTTAGTTCCTCTCACTCACTAAAAAGAGATAAGTAACTTCTTAAACATTTCCACCTCTTAAAGCCAGAAGATAAAAAGGCACACACACACACACACACACACACAGAGTAGCAACAGTGGCACAAGACAGATCCACCTATGTGCACATTTTGAGCCTCCTTTCAAAACCAGCTTTTTTGGTACGAGGTTCCCCCACACCTGGCTCAAAAAGCAAAGTGGGACACAGCAAGACCTCAACGTAATATGCTTTCAAGCAAATATAGAAATTACTAAAATAAAAGCACAGCAGGCAGTCACAAACTTAACTTGCTCAGGTAGCACAGCCAGATATGCCAGCTATTACTGCAGGGCACCATGAACACACAAGTACTACTTCTGAACAAGGACTTAAATGTCTCACCCTTTTCTATGACAGTTCTTCATAGAAGACCCCTCCCCACCAACTGTATTCATTTACCCATGACTCCAACAGCACAGCAATTTAATACTAACATCACCATGCAAATACTGACATAAGCCAAGAGGTAAGCACTCACACAAAGGCAGTTCACTCGCTCAAACAGCTCATGCAAATCCAAAGCTGTTAAACTGGAGAGCTTTTAATCATTTACCTGTTCTGGTTTTCTGCTTATGAGAATACTTAGCACCTTGCTGAAGAAACTGGCAAGTAAAGGGTTTAGAGGAGATTCATTTAAGAGGAAGCTGTACAGTTTCATAAGTAAAGATTCTTCTTCTCCCAGCCTATCATTGATCTGTGAGACATCTGAAGTGAGCAGCTCACAAGATATGTTTGGATATCTGCAAAAAAGGAAAGAAGTGTGTATATAATCTGTAAGTCATTCATACTTCAAAGAAATACATATCCAATCAGAACCTAATAGGGCTTCTAATAAGATCAATTTTTCAAGCATGATAGCTCCGCACTAATTACAAAATGCAAACTATTGCAAGGTAACATAACTGTACATTCAAAGAATCATAGGATGACCAGGGTTGGAAGGGACCTCCAGGATCATGAATCTCTAACTGTCATACACAGGGCCAGCAACCTCCTCATTTAATACTAGACCAGGCTGCCCAGGGCCCCATCCAATCTGACCTTGAACACCGGGCATCCACAACCTCTCTGGGCAGATGTTCCAGCACCTCACCACTCTCTCTGTAAAGAATTTCCCCTTGACATCCAACCTAAATCTTCCCTCCCTCAACTTAAAACCATTTCCCCTTGTCCTGCAGTTATCTACCCTTTGAAAGAGTTGATTACCCACCTATTTGTAGGCTCCCTATAGGTACTGAAAGGCTGCAATGAGGTCACCTTGCAGCCTTCTTTTCAGCTACAGACTGTGTTCTTTCATTTAGAAAACAGACTACTATGACCTCCAGGTGCAACAGGACAGCACCAGGGAAGTGGGGAAAGAGCATACTTTCATTTTAAAAATCTTCTACTTTTATTTTAAAATCTTCTGTTAAATTAATCTGTTCAAATACTGAGATTTCAGTTTTTTCCTCCTCTTCCCCCCCCACCCCCATGAATAGGAAAACATTAGCTGCCAAGAAATTAAGTAGGCTGCTAACAGCAGATTGATACCTGTGAGGAAGCAGTAGGTTTGTCCCTTTCTAGTAAACAAGGCTTACATTAAAAAAAAATCAATGCCAATAGTTTCAGGATTACTCTCTCTATACCTACTGCAACTGAAGAGGCTCATTACCTCTACCCGAAGTCTGATAAAGCCTGCAAAACTAGTTAATACTATCAAATACAGGAAACTATTGGGTTTGATGGTCTCTTAGCTTAATTACTCAGTGTCCTGAACTGAACTTCTGGCCTTCACTCACACTAAAGATAGTTATGACAGCACCAGCAATTTAAAGCTTATAAACATAAAAGGTACTGCTATTTCAAAGTCAGCTAGAAACACAGGAGGTTTGGTTTGTCAGAAAGAGAAGTGCTGCAACTAAAAGAGTACTCTATTTCACATTAAATTTTGCCTTCTATTTTAAGAAAGGCAAGCTTTCTGCACAGACAGCCCTAAAAGAGGCCAAAATTGGTAGAAGTGCCTTTATATAAATTGACAGATTGAGTGTTGAGTTTGAACATTCTCAACAAACTAGCAAGAGTCATGGCCATACTCAGTTCTAACAGTTCTAGCTCTGCAAAGGAAAACACCAGCAATTAGATAGTCAGCGTATTCTTCCAAGGAGTGCTACAGACTTTCTAAAATGCATCCCCCAAACAGCTTACTAATCATTAATAAAACAAGGCTAACCACCTAACTGAATTAAGCAAATACAGATTCACTCAAGTACCTTTCATCACATTAAAAAAAATGAAAGATTTTTCATCTAAGTTCTGATTATTTTACTTAGCATTTCTTTGAGGGGTCCCTGCTCAGAAAACATGCAAACATCAGAATGATTTAAATAAAAGTTCTACAAGTCTCTTGAAAAAACAAGCTCAAAGTTTAACAGCATTGTACTAAAGAACAGCATGCAGAAATGCAAACATACTACCAGATTAACACTGAAGTATGTCACCTCTCTTTCTACATTCCTAAGTCCCTCAACCCCCTAGAAGTTCTCCTACTTGTATCGTATTTTTTCATCCATGTCTTGAGGTGGTTCTTCGATAATGAATGAAACCAAGTCTTCCAAGCATTCTGACTTCAACAGAAACTCGATAAGTTTGCGATTCTGAGCCTTGCACTCCTGCAGGACGTCCTCCTCATCCATCAACTCCTTCAGTGTTACATCTTCTCTTTCTAGAAGTGTATCTATGTGGGATGACGAATGGAGATCAAATTTCCAAAACATGCTGGTCTGGATAAAGAGAACATAACAAAGCATTAGTTTCACACACGTATTTAAGCACTATTAGCAGAAACAATTCACAGTACTACCTCATAGCTTCTAACCCCAAAGGCATCTGCACACATAGAAATGTTCTAGAACTTGAACAATACACAGTAGCAGACGCTTAAAGACCATCACAGAGCTACTAAGTCATATGTGATTAAAAAAGACTGAATGTTCTGTAGCAAGTTTTATACCTTCAGCAATTGCCAGTATTTGAACTCTGGAAGTCAGCCAGCTCTGGGGTTTTTACTTACATTTGCTCTTGCCACTCTGATCTACACCCCAATTCTCAAACTCAGAACTATCTGCTCAGCGATGACTAGATCTGGTAGACAATAAAGGGGGCAAAGCATAAGCATACCAGCGTGCCACCTCTGTCACTGAAAAGAATATCTCCAAAGGTACAAGAATTATAACCATTTAACTTGTGGGCAGCACACACCAAAAGCACTGGAGCTGACATCAGTGCAAGGCCTACTGTTTCACTGCACCTCCTCTCCACAAACTTGAAACAAGAAGTGGAAGAACAAAGGACAGTAAAATCTCTTATGCAGATGCCTGAAAAGACAGCATCCCCAAGCAAGCACTACGGAAGACTAATATAGGTAAAAGCAGTTTAACTTTTCCTTCTAGAAAGGCTTTGAGTACTTCCTGTTAATTTTGTTTCTCTAAGAGAGCTTGCAAGCAGTTGCAAAACAGAGCATCAACTAGCCCTGTATGAAAGCAGAATTTGAGCAGATGGATTGAAAGACATGCTAGAGATCAGTAAGAAGAGCAGCTTTTTCCCTGCAGCTGGAAGCAGCATGGTTTTAAGCAGTACTCAGAAAAGAAAAACTTTTTTGCTCCTTTAGTAACTGTCTTCCAAGTGTGAAGGCTTAATCATTAATGGTGAAAATGAATGACAGTGTTAGCTGTGTGGACATGAGGCTATTGCAGAGAACATAGGTAAGCAGTACTATTTGAGCAAAAACACTTTTACAAGCTGCAGTCTTAATGAAGAAGGTGCAAGTTTATCTACAACAATTAAACCATGCCTTTGGCATATAAACTCTTATGATCACCTACAACATTTAAAACAAATACTTAATTCTTACATAAATTAAAGGGTAGATAGACAGCCATCTAACAAGGAAGGCTGAGGAAAGGACAGAGGCATTTAGTGCCTTCTTTGAGCTCAGTCTTCAATAACAATAGATCTTGGGCAGCCCAGTCCTCAGAATCAGAAGACTGTAATTAGGGAAGCAGCGACTTTCCATTTGTGGTCACTGAAATTTCAAGGGACCAGTGTATCAGCTCAGCATAAGTCCACAGGGCCTGACAGGATTCACCCAGAGGGAGTTAAACAAACGCTGTGGCTGGACTCTTCTCAACAATTTACCAAAGGCTTTGGTGGTCTCTGCTGACTGGAAGCTAGCCAGCATTAGACTCACCTGCAAAAAGGGGCATGAGAGAAGTTCCAATAAACTGCTGCCCTGTTAGCCTAACCTCAGCACCTGCAGAAGCTTCAGAGATGATCACTCTCGTGGCAACTGAAAGTCAGTTGAAGAATAAAGCTATGATAAGGCACAGTCAATATGAGTTAATGAAGAAGTAGTCTTGCCTTACTACTTCGATCACATTTTATGTGAAGGTCCACTTGGGGGATGAAAGAAAGGCAGTGGACATCCATCTGGATTTTAATAAGGCTTTTGATAGCATCCCTCACAGCATCCTTCTGGAAATACTGTTCAAAATGGACATTAAGAACAACTTCATTACCATGAGAGTGTTCAAACACTGGAACAGGGATGGTGGATGCCCTGCGCCTGTCAACATTCAAGAGGCATTTGGACCATGCCCTCATTTCTTTAACCCTTTGGTTAGGCCTGAAGTGGTCAGATAGTTGGAACAGATCATCTTCTGAAGGTCTCTTCTATATGAACTGTTCTATTCAGACAGCATCAAGCATTTCTCTCTTACGTTTAAATGGATTCAGCATGCCTACCATAACTGCTCAAACAACAAGGTGTCAAATTTTGTCACCACAGCCACTGAAGTGCTGAGAAATCCATGCATCTAGCAAAACCTCATTAGCAAGACTTCCAATACTTAGCTTAAAGATTAGAATAAGCCTGGTATACTCACTACAGCCATGTTTCAATTGCTTTTAAGGTTTCCCTTGTTGTGTTAATTATGTGCTGATCACTTCTTACGCCTTACTTTGCTTAGGATTTTGTCAGGAGTTTTAGGCATAAATAACTGCCCCAGATTACACAGCTTCCTGTTTAAACTTACAGGAGTAAAATAAAAAAAATCATTCAAGAAAAAGTACAGACAGTTTAATTGCAGTTTTAGTATTACAAGTGTCCATGCAGTGATTAGGTGGATAAAAAATACTAACAATTTCGAAGGAAAATACATCTTACAAGTAGATGTCAAAAGCACTTGATTTCACATCATCTTAAATCAAATTACACAAAGTTATTAAAAACACTGGCTTATGATTATTTAGGCTACACACAGACTCACTGGGAGCAATTAAACTAGTGCATTATTAAAGGCACAGAATATTTTCTTCCTTAAGCCTCTAATAAGTAGATCAAATCCCTCCCCTTGCCCCATTTAGTGAAAGTAGCATCTTTGCAAGTAACCACTACCAACCAATGCTAATTCCAGACAGAAATCCGTCTGCAGTGATTAAAGTTCATTTCAGTAGCTTCAAAGCATTTTTCAGTTACTCACTTCAAGAGAAATTTAACAATAGAAAACAGCAACAACAAAAAAAAGAGGCATACTACTGCAAACATGTTACTGCGTTATTTCCCAAACTGTCTCCCAGGCAAGCTCTTTTAGGGATGCTCCCCCAGCATGTCAGGTGCCGGCCGGAGATTATTCCATCACTTTTCAACAGGAGCCCAGGTCCTTTGGAATAAGGAAAAATAAACACCATAAAATGTGCAAGTGAGGAATTCCAGGAACCCCAGAGATCATCTTCTACAGGCGTTAACACTGACAATCATCTAAGAACAGCCTGTCACAGTTCCAAATGGAAGTTACCAAACCAAGTTTGTTCTTCCCATAGCCTACTTTTCCACCCTCTCCCCCAAACCTCACCAATTCTCAGTTATTTTCATGTTTTTTCAAACTTCAGTCTGATTAACAGAGGTAGAGAATTAGAATCTGTCCACTAATCAGAAGGAGGCACCTTCCAGCTGTGCTTCTCACCACAGTTCACTATCTGCTAATTAATCATCAGCTCCAAAGGTCAGGTGGGTTCTACTACTCAACTTCAGCTCTGATACCAGCAGCAAAATCACAATGTTGGTTCAACAACAGATGGAAAAGACTGCCAAATCTTAACCGTGCTTTACATACTGTGGGACAGCACTAAAAACTCCCAGACACGGAAGAAAAATTGTATTCAAGATGGCAAAATGATTGCAGGTACTTCTCCCATAACATTTAGTCAGCTTCCCATTGTCTCTGAAAGCTCCCAGCAAGACAGACCGGCAAACTTCTGATTTATCTAAGCATTTCCTCAGATAGTTCACACCAACTTGATACAAATTATAACAATCAAAGGTACTATGTAGCATTTGTGACCAAAAAAAAAAAAATCTGACTTCTTCCTGCAGTTAATACTGTAACAGATTCTTCTCCAAATGAATCATGGAAGAGCAGTCCATATAGTTAGTACCTGACTTAAAACCTGTAACAAAAGAAAGCCCTTGATAAACTGATGAAGTTCTCCACTCTTCTGAGCCACAGGTAACTGAAATTCTTAACTGAGAGAAAATAAAGCTTACAAGTGCTCCTTCCCCAAACCCTCATATCTTTTGTCCACAACAGGTGAAAACAGCACGTTGTGTTCTGTTTAACAGGAACAAGGCTGTGGGTGCCTCCAGAGGCCAAACGCTCAGCTGAGATCTCCAGGAGAACAAAACTTGTGGATGTAACAAGTTTCTCCACAGTTTCCAGTAGATGTAGCAGTCAAACACCTTTCCTGAATGCAGACATCTCTTGCTCTCAGTCTATAAAATGAACACAAATTCTAGACAGATATGCCCCTGCAAGGATAATTTTGGGGACTGTCTCCTGCCTTGAATCTTTTAAAGAAGTGTATTTCATAAAGACTGTTTAGGTGATCTGCTCATTTAATTTCTGGACTTTTACATATCATACACAGGTGAATCTTTAACCAAGAGTTACCTCCAGCTTGGCAGCTCATACTTGTGGTACCTACAAGCAGATGTGGCCATCTGAACCAGCACAGAAACAAAACTAAAAGGACTTCATGCATTCAGCTGAAAGCTGTATCAGGTACGATGTTTTACTTGACAGCTGAATGTGTTAAAAGCAGATACCCAGAGCTTCCATCAAGAACTTCACACGTTTTTGCAGCAATAAACAGTTAACATGAGAATTTTCAAGTCCATTGAGCATCAAGCTGAAGCTTCTGCAGTGTTTTGTGACCCTAAGAAATGCTACACAGAGTAATAAGGGTTGTGTTGCCAAGTACTGAACTGAGAACACAACAACTTCTTCATATGTAGTTCAAGAGCACAGGAAAAATCAGTTTTGCACCAAAAAACTTTCCTATGATTAAACACATCCTAAGTTAAGTAGGATATTTCAATAAAACAGGATTTTCCCACTCTCAGGCAGCAGCTAACAGAAGGCAACTTCATCACTGGATGCAAGGACAGGAGCCACAAACGTAGTCCTCGGCACCACCAATGTTACTCAACCAAGACTTATTCCACAGAACTTCTATAAAGCATTGCCAGTGCAAACAATGAACTGTCTCCAAAAACCCAACAGGTGAGCAGGCCTGGGGGGGAGTAATGGGAGAAATAGCATCTTTTAAAAGGTAACACCACGAGAATTTAGCATCATTTCAAATACCTTTAACATTAAGTGGCTTCTTTAAAATGCTAAGCATGTCCTTCTGCCAGCTCACCAAGATACCAACTGGTTAACTACACTTCATTAGTTTCCACCTTATTTCTGCCCAAAGCAATGAATGTTAATCAGATACTATGCTAGCACTCACTAAGCCTTTACTTTGATACTGGAAATTTACCATCTGTTCAAATTAAAACTAAAAGTACATCCCTGAAAAAATTTGAGACGGAAATAGCAGTGGTGAACACTGACAGAGAATACACTCTAGTGGCTACTTCTTAAACTGCTAAGATATCAACTACTGTTCCAAATCCTACATTCAACTGCACTGTATCACACCTAACAATCACAAATTGAAATAAAAGCAGTAATACAGCAGTGTTTTTGTGAGACAGTTTCTACATTTCTTAAACACAGGTGGAATCACATGAGTTAAGTTCTTACCACTGTTGAGCTGTAAGATACAGGACTTGCAGGGTAATTCTCCCTGACAGCTCACTGACAGTTCAGTGTTATAAACACTCACCAGGTAGAATTTCACTTACATGCCAAAACAACACATTGCTTCTCCCAAATGCTATCAACAATTCCTGTGTAGCTAAAGTGTGTTTGGGAACACAACAGAACAAACTCAGCATGTGCATTAACTACTCTACAGTTTAACAATATGCTATGGATACAATTGATTCTAGACAGTCCAGATTCCAGCTGCTAGCTGAGTTAATTACACTCTTGAGGAAAATGCGTGGCAGTCTTTTCTTGACTAGAAGAAAAGCCATGTTTGAAAACAGTATGAAAACAGTCATTTTCCTAACACTCAACCAGCTGTCTCCAGCTCCTAATGAGAAGGGAAATTACCTAGTAAGGACAACTTTCATTCTCTATATATTAGACAGTAAGTACCTCCTTTTCACTTCCCAAAGAAGGGGCCTGCCATGGTTGTAGAGCAGCTGAAAATTGAGACAGAAGTGCCACCTCTTTTACACTTACCATTCCATGCTCCCACTGGCTGCACTTACATCTAGATCAGAGCTACAAATCCACGTGTTTTTACACAATATAGATAATACACACCCATCACATGCACACATACATCTACTGACTGAATGTCCCAGCAGTCAATTGCCATGATGAAATCTAGAAGAACTTCCAGAATAGCTCATGTTGACTCAAACACACTGATAGCCCCATATCGCTGAGGTCATAACCATCTGGCTAAAAATGTAACTTGATTGTGAAGTGCACAAGAGCAATTTTACATTTTACACCAAGCAACTAGAGCAGCCTTGGTGATTCCTATGCTGTGTCAAACCACTGGTTAATAATTGTTAATAAATGTAAGTTTTTGTTACCAATAACTAAAATTAGACACTGGATATTCTAACAGGATAGAATAATTTTCTACTAATTCAACAGCTAAATATTTACAAATTTAAAATATTAACTGGTCATGGAATTCAGTTAGATTCTCAGTATTTTCAACTCTTCCAATTATTTTCAAAGTGGAAATCAGGTTATTTATGTACTGAGAAGAACAGACGGTTCAGCAATATTATAGCAAGACAGCTAAATAATGCATACCTACATAGAAGACAGTTTTACTCTGAAGCATTCAGTTTGATACAAAAAGTTTGGCTGCAGAAGAAAGCATTACTGCACTCCAATACAAGAACCTACAGCGCCAAAAATCTCTCGTACCTAACGTATGTCAATTCATGAACACATTTGCTTTGAATCTCTTCAAAGAATGGGAGGCTAGGCAGCTGATACTCTTCCTGGCACAAAAATCAAAACACTTTAAAACATGTTCCCTGTAAAACAAATAGAATAACCACAACAGTGTGTCCAGAACGAGCCTCAAGGGTCAACTAAGACTGAAGGGAAGAGGTGGAACAGGGGCTAAGGAATAAAACAAAAACAAAAGGTAGTGCAACAGCATGATTAAAAGACAAAGTTAAAAACAGCCATCTATAAAGTTGTTGGGAAAAAAAGGCTGAAAGGAAAGGAACGACCACGAAGCCTGACCTGCAGAAAAAGAAGAGCAGCTTGGAATCAGGTAAATAAGCCTTTAGTGAAGATGAGGGACAAAGTTAAAGCATTTAGGCACAACTTAAAATTTAATCTGAGGCTTTATAGATGCCGAAGCTAAGTACAGCGCTATAGATGAAGTTTAATAGCAACGTTTCTTACCTGTTAAACAAAAGCTTTAACAAAATTTAAAAAACAGAATTTGTACTCTCTCAGGCTCCTTGCCCATTACAGGGTATCCTGGCAACAGCAAAAATCTTTCAATCTACAGTATTAGCAGATTAGCAGGACTGAATTAGGATTGAATTAGATGAAGCAGATTTCTTCCTACAACGACAAAAAAGACATTTAATAATTTAGTGTTGTTAACAGGCTTTCTGTTCAGTAGTTCAACAACTGCACAAACACAAAGTGTTGCTTTGCAGGAAATAAGACATGAGCTGAAGGAGGAAACAACTCTATCAACCTAAATATACGTAAGACAAATACATTCAGAGAATGATTTGGGTTGAAAGGAATTTTTTGACTTCTTTCTGAACTGAAAGTAGCATTTACATTTCAGTTACAATGAATGTGCTCTGCTTGGTACTTTTTTATGTATTCATTTTAGGGCCTGGAAGTTTTGCTTGCAGTACCGTGTTATTTAGTACCTCCCAACAGTGCTGGAACCTGAAGTCACCACTCCTCCATTTAATGCACAATGGCACAGAGATTCCAAGCCCTGACATACACAAACATTAAATACAGCCTTCTCTAAAGCTATTTTAGTAACCAACGTACACATGAACTGAAGGTCAGCATAATACATTGACCATAATACTTTCAAAGGTCAAATATGTTTTTCATCCTGAGATCTTCAGGTCCAAATGTCAAGTAGATTTGCCAATTCCTTGTGAGCCAAGTGACTTACTAGAGCAGAAAAAGTAAACAAGTGTGTTGAATTTTCTTTGCTTTACCTAAGTTTTCTTAGTTGCCATTTCTGGTTTTCAAATGCACACGCATGGATAGAGGGGGGTGGGAAAACACACTTCCTTTCCTTAAAAAGAGGACTGCTCCAGAAGTAACACTCCTCTTTCATGATGTTGGCCCAGAACATCAGAGGCAGATGGTGGTGCTGTGGCAGCAGAGGTTGAACCTTCCCATCAATGTTCTGTTACAGTTTGCTGCTGTGTGACAGATGGCAGCAGAGTGTGACAAAATGGCATCTGACATGCAAGTGCAGATGGAGCAAAGGTGTGTCAATGAATTCCTCCACTAGCAGGAAACGACATCTGCTGAGATTCATTGAGGTTTGCTGAACGTTTATGGAGACCAAACCTCGGATGTCAGCACAGTGAGGCGGTGGGTATTCAGTATGTCCTAAGTGTAAGTATACAACATATCAAGTACATTTTTTCCCCTTTTTCCAGCAGTTTATTACCCCAGAAAGCTTCCACAGTGAAGCTACTATCCAGCAATAGGAAACTGTTACATGTTAATGCTCAAGACAGAGCAGTGCAAAATAATTTAAGAGACTAAATAGTATCATCATCACTCCTTTCACAAATCCCTCTGAACGTCTGGAGGAGAGAATCCAAATACATCCTCGTTAGAACACCAGTATACTGTAATTTACTACAGAATTTAATCAGGAACATCTCTTCCTCCTCCAGAATCACAGCAGTTCCAACACAATCCACTCAGTACGGTCTCTCCCTGACACCACACCTGACCAACCTCTGCAAGCCACTTCAGAGCGAAAACACACATTATGACATGACAGATGAGGCTGCTGTGAGAAGCAAGGAAAGAGGGTTGTGGTTTGGATTGGATTTTCTTTTTTTTTGTGTGTGTGAAATCCACATGCTGAAGTAGCTCAAAGAGTCTGCCAGTCACCAGGGCTTGTGTGGCCAAGGAGCAGGGAGCACCCTGGTAGGGACAGGGAAACCAGAATGCATCTCTGTCTCTGTTTCAAATCATGTGACTTTAAGTTGCTTCAAGACTGTAGCATGAAAGTTTTTCTGCAGCTGACAATGAAAGTAAGATAAATATGGTTGAAAAGACAATTCAGCAACAGTTCTATTATCCCAACCACATGATAATCTGCAACATAGTTCCTGGACTCCTGCACTGCTTCCCCAGAAATGGAAAAAAAAGCAGTACTGCTAATTCACTGCTGAGGTTGCACAGGTGTTTCTTTTGTTTGAATGTTAAAGAAAAAACCTTAACTTAAGGAGACAGCCTTACGGTCAGATGTGTGAATTCTAGCTTTATGCATTTATTCCTTTCTGCTTCAGTTGGTGCTCTCAACAAGTGTGTGGGGGGGGGGGGTTGTGTTTGTGATTCACCGGTTATTAGTCTTGAAAGGCAACAGAAAAAAAAAAAATCAATGATATTTACCACCACAGCTGCACTAGTGCTGGGTCAATGTTTCACCTCCTCTGCCTCACACTGCCCCAACCAGCAGGGACACTGCTGAAAACAAGCACGGAAGGGATGAGAAGGCTCTTTGTTAGAATGTGTTCACCAGAACCAGGCAACAGGAAACTTTTTTCTCATAGTAAGGTAGTAGCAGAAGCAGCATTAACAGACAACAATAGAGCTGTGTCAGACACTTTGCTACACTACAGCCACTTAGACCTACACTCAGCTTGCCCTCATGAAGCAGAGCACAACAGCCCACGCAGCTTTCTGACCCTACGTCAGTACTTGGCATGGCACGTTGTAAATATAAAAGCCTATGCATAATTGGCTGGGATGTTTCTTCCACGGCACTGCAGAGCATAACGTAAACATACCCACTTTATCTGGACAACCTTTAACTGTTCAGGCAAACAAGTTCATCCTCCTTTTCACCTTGTTGATTAGACCTTGAAAGTTGGATGCAAGTCAAGTTTCGAGACATGTGAAAACAGAGGTAGAAGAAAGCTGCTTGCTTCAGTAACTTCGAACCAGGTCAGCAAAGAGTGCCCTTCTGTACGGGCAGTGTAAGCAAGTCCTACAAGTTTTCTTAGCACGCAACATGTCAGTCTTGTTAAAATGCATACTTTGTAACATTTGCAGTTCAGAAATGGAAGCTGGCAGCAGCCTCCTCTCAGAGCCCAGCACCGCTTTGCCTCTCGAAGCTCCCATCAGCTCTGGCTGCTGCCAGAATTAGAATGGACTTAGGTTAACGCCCTAAAAAAATGAAACCCAAAGTTGCTTGTCATGTACTTCCTTCTCGTTTGACTCTTTACAGTCATTAAAGGTTTCCCAGACCTCTCCATTCACATTACAGACTACCTGAACTTCACTAGTTAACAAAGACTGTGGGCAACACGTTCCTGCTTTTCATTATAC